CACTTTGCACCAGGTGACCAAAGTACTACTGGAGCTTCAGTATTTATATCTATGTGTATTTATCAGATGAATTCTTACAAAAAATTTACTGAGTCAAAGAGATGCACATTTAGGATGTTAGTAGTTGTCAAGTTACTGTCCAAAATAATTTACCAATTCCTACTTCATTATATATGAGGGTGACTTTCATCAAGCCTTCACCAACACTTTGAAATATTTGCCAGCCTGAAAGGTAAAGAAAAATGTATTACTGTTTTACTTACATTTTAAAATGATGGATGAGGCTGAGACTATTTTCATATGTTTAGTATCCATTTGTATATTTTTTTCTGTGAATCTTTTATTTCTGCTCTTTGCCCATTCTCTATGGCTTGTTTAGGCTTTTGAAAAATTGAACCAAAAAAGGTCAATGAACATTAAAGAAATGTTACTGTATTTCTGGGCTTTCCAGGTAGCACTAGTGGTAAATAACCCAACTGCCAGTGCAGGAGACTTAAGAGACAGGGGTTCAATCCCTGGGTTGGGAAGCTCCCCTGAAGGAGGGCATGGCAACTCACTCCAGTATTCTTGCCTGGAAAATCCCATGGACAGAGGAGCCTGGTGAGTCACCAAGAGTTGGATATGATTGAAGTTAGCATGCACTGTATTTCTAAACACTTTCTAGATGTGGACTTCTAAGCTTGAGTTCTAGAGGAGTTTGTTTTTTCTTTGTTTAAAGTTTTTGGTTTTTTTTTTTTTGGATGTGGACTAATTTTAAAGCCTTTGTTGAATTTGTTACAATATTGTTTCTGTTTTATGTTTTGGCTTTTTCGGCCAGGAAGCATGTAGGATCTTAGCTCACCAGTCAGGGATCAAGTCTGCACACCTTGCATTGGAAGGCAAAATCCTAACCGGTGGACTGCCAGGGAAGTCCTTAGAGGAGTTTGAAAGGCAATAATCATTTCCTAACGTCACAGTGTTTTACAAGTACAAAAAACTTGCTATATGATCTAATATAATCTCACAGCTAACCTCTGAGGCAGGTCCTGAAATACTCAGAGAGATTAAGCAACTTCAGGTCAGGAAAAATGTGAAAGACTTTGAAATGGGCATTAAAAGATTGCTCTGTCTAGCACACTCTTTTAGAATTTCAGCCCATTCCATTGTTTGTGAGCTATTTTCCCACTCTTTAAATTGATAAAAAGTACTAAAGCAAATAATTCTTATCCATAGAAATGCAAATGAATTGTGTCCCGTTGAGATGCTATTGATTACTTCCATATGTCTGTTGAAACTTTTTGTCTTTATTTGTAATTCATTTCAGCATTCCTGATTGCCTCTGTTCCATGTCTGTTCTTTGAGTTCTCCTTTGAACTATTCTGATGTGTTGCTGTTCCCCATTAATTAGTGAGTTAGATAAAATTTTAGCACTTGTTCATTTTATATTTATATGGTCTTATTGAAACAGGCTGTTTAGTCAAGGCTGTGGTTTTTCCAGTAGTCATGTATGGATGTGAGAGTTGGACTGTGAAGAAAGCTGAGTGCTGAAAAATTGATGCTTTTGAACTGTGGTGTTGGAGAAGACTCTTGAGAGTCCCTTGGACTGCAAGGAGATCCAACCAGTCCATCCTAAAGGAGATCAGTTCTGGGTGTTCATTGGAAGGACTGATGTTGAAGCTGAAACTCCAATACTTTGGCCACCTGATGTGAAGAACTGACTCATTTGAAAAGAACCTGATAAGGGGAAAGATTGAAGGCGGGAGGAGAAGGGGACGACAGAGGAAGAGATGGTTGGATGGCATCACCGACTCATTGGGTATGAGTCTGAGTAAACTCTGGGAGTTGGTGATGGACAGGGAGGCCTGGTGTGCTGCAGTCCATGCGTTCGCAAAGAGTTGGACACGACTGAGTGAACTGAACTGAACTGAAACAGGAGGGAAGGGGGGCAGGGCAGAACCTTTAAAAGAATGACATAGCCCTTGAAGATACGAGACAGGACTGGTTAGAACTAACTAGGTCCAAGGTAGTTGAAGATTCGACTTCTAGTAGGACTTGAGACTCATTATATGCTCATTGTGGTGGCTCAGACAGTAAAGAATCTGCCTGCAATGAGGGAGACCAGTGTTCGATCTCTGGGTTGGGAGAATTCCCTGGAGAAGGGAATGGCAGCCCACCCCAGTATTCTTGCCTAGAGAATTCCATGGACAGAGAAGCTTGGCGGGCTACAGTCCATGGTGTTGCAAAGTTGGACACGACTGAGCAACTAACACACACAGACAATACATTAACATACTTTGAATGACACACCTAGCAGAGCCATGACAGTTCCAAGGCCTACCATAAAAGGTCAAAAAGTGGGCAGGGGCCCGATTCCTGGAAATCCCTTTCACTGCTCCAAAATGTGCGAGGCCCACGTTTGATCCCTGGGTCAGGAAGATCCCCTGGAGAAGGGAATATCAACCCACTCCAATATTCTTGCCTGGAGAATTCCATGGACAGAGGAGCCTGGTGCGACTACAGTTCATGGGATTGTAAAAAGTCGGACACGACTGAGCGACTAACACTTTCACTTTCCTCCAAAATAGTTGGAATAATCCGCCCATTCATTAGCCTGTGAAATGACCCAGCCCATTAAGCTGTGTGGGCCCAGTTGCTTCAGTCATGTCAGATTCTTTGTGACCCTATGGACTGCAGCCCGCCAGGATCCTTTGTTCATGGGGTTCTCCAGGCAAGAATACTCTAGTGGGTTGCCGTCAGGTGAGTGTAATCTCCTCGGTTCTGTCTCATCTAAACAAAAATTTGAAGTGACGGATATTAAAGCCCTCGGTGCATCACAGCTCTTGGACAGACCGTGTTATAACTCTCGGTTCTTGAACAGACTGTGTTATAGCTCTTAGACAGACCAGTGTTACAGCTCTGTTACAGCTCAGTTTTATTTAGAAAATAGCAGGAAAATACATCCTCGAGGCATGAGGGCATGCCGACCCAAAGACATGAAGAGAAGAAAGAGCCTGGCCCTTTGGCTCCTCTTTTTATGTGTCTTTTCCTCCCCCTGGGCCTGCCCTATGTAAATTGGGCTAGCCAGGAGTGCTGTTTGTTCTACCTGAGGTCCTCACTCTGGTCCTTGGAACTTTCTTTGACCTTCCTTTGTTCTATTTTCGCGGGCTTTTCCCTTCCTTGTCTTTTAGTCACCACCATTTTGGATTCCTGTTTCCTATTCTAACTACCTAACAGTTGCCATGCCACCCTCCAGGAGATCTTCCCAACCCAGGAAACTAATCAGCACTTCTTTTGTCTCCTGCATTGGCAGGCAGTTTACAACTACCTCCACCTGGGAAGCCCCCCTGTTAAGACTAACCACCCCATATTTTGGGGCCTCTTGCCTTCTTAGGTGACCCACACTCTGTCTGTAGAGTGTGTTTCTCCCAGGGCCAGTCTCACCTTTTGAGATGGACTGCATTCTGTCTGTGGAGTGTGTGTCTGTCTAAATAAATCCACTTCTTACCTATCACTTTGTCTTTCACTGCATTCTTTCTGTGCTGAGACATAAAGAACTTGAGCTTCAGTAAGTCCTGAGACCAGGTATGTGCTTTTAATTAAAAGAGAATGAGTTCAAGTCTCAATCTGAAATAATGCGGTTTCAGTACCTTTAAAAAAATGACCCCTTCACTTCTCTCATGCCTCTAGTCCACACAGCTAGAATAGGATCCTATTGGGTCTGACTCAGATATGTGTAACAGGAAAACTTTATTATTATTGGTGTTAGCTGAAACCTCTTTGAAAAGTTGATGAAAACAATGAATGTTTTGCCTGGGAAAAATAAACACACACACACAATTTTGCTTACTCTTTTCAGAGTTCCTTGACTTCCTGAAAGCTGGTTTAAGAGCTCCTGGGAAAGAGTCTGGAGTATAGCTGTTCAAGATCAGAAGTTGAAGGAGGTACAAGGGAGAGTTGGGAAAATGACTTTTTTCTTAATAGCTGTGCTTACCATCTACCACAATGTATTATCTCATTTGGACTTCCCTGGTGACTCAGTGATAAAGAATCCCCTGACACTGCAGGAGACACAAGAGACAGGGGTTTGATCCCTGTGTTGGGAAGATCCCCTGGAGTAGGAAATGGCAACCGACTTCAGGATTCTTGCCTGGAGAATGCTATGGACAGAGGAGCCTAGTGGGCTACCATCCGTGGAGTTGCAAAGAGTTGGATACAGAGTATGCATATGCACATGCTTATTAACTCATGTAATAGAGAAACCCTCAGAGACAAGAAACTTGCTCTCCAAGGAACAGATACACAGAGGGAATGTGTTTCTCTCTCTCTCTCTTTATTTTTTTTCATTTGGTTGCATGGGTCTTAGTTGCGGCATGCAGGATCTTTGATCTTCGCTGGCAGCATGAGGGATCTTTAGTTGTGGCATGTGGAATCTAGTTCCCTGACTAGGGATTGAACCCAGTCCCCCTGCATTGGGAGCTTGGAGTCTTAGTCACTGGAACACCAGGGAAGTCCTGGTAATGTGTCTCTTTCCCAAGTTTTCACAGCTGGTAAGAGTGCTAAAGTTATTCATTTGCCCCACAGATATAAGGTGAAGGGAAGAAAATAGTTATTGGGGGAAAAGGAACACCTAGAGTGGAAGACGTGGCCCCCCAAAACCAGCTTTCACATCTGTACTGAAGCTGAGGCACTCTGGTCACCTGAACCCCTTATGCTTGGAGGGAGGATGTGACTAGGAAAGGGGATGGAGCCTGGGATGGTTAATTTTGTGTGTCAACATGACTGGCCCACAGGGTAACTAGATATTCAGCTACACATTATTCTGGGTATGTCTGTGAAGGTGTTTCTGGATGAGACGAACATTGTGATCAGCAGATTGAGTAAAGCAGATGGCCTTCCTCCATGTGGGTGGACCTCATCCAATCCATTGAAGGCTGAATAGAACGAAACTGTGGGAGAAGGAAGAATTTGCTCTCTCTGCCTTATTGTCTTTGAACTGGGACATGGCACTTCTGCCTTCAGTCTCACACTGGAGCTGATACTCTCTGCTCTCCTGGGTCTCCATTTTCAACTGGCCAGCTGCTGCTAATGGGACTTTTCAACTTCCATAACTGTGAAAGCCAATCCCTTATATTAAAAAAAAAATCAACTTCTCTGTCTCTTTCTTTCCCTGTTTCTTAGAATTTTCAGCATAGAATGAGGCTGGCTTTCTAACTGGGCCCCTTGCAAAGTCCTGGGAAGATGAACTGTGACTAGAGCTTATTATCTTTCCCTTCATCCAAGCCAGAAATGACAACATCCATCCCCAGCCTGGCAGAATAACCAAAGACACTAAATTCTGTTTAAAGTTTTAAAGAAATGTTTCTATATTTCTCTTCCTCTTTAGAACATTCATATCAATCCCTAACAGAATGTGTTAACTGAGGTCATTAACTAATGACCTCTTGCAAGGTCATTGAGCGAATGTTCTGCCTGCAGGGGAAGGTCAGCATTACCCTTTTGGTCATCCTGGACTGAGCTCCTGTGGGCAGAGCCTCAGTTGTTCATGCCAATATCCAGTTCCATGTATGAGGCACTCAGTAGGTGTTTAATAAGTGTCTTACGAGTGAGTGAACAGACAACCTCTCCTTGGCCTTCTCTGTGCTGTTCTCACCATGGTTCATCTCACCAAGGTAAGGGCCAGAAGGGTGCTCAGGAGTCATCTGTGCAGCAGCCTATGTTACAAGATGAAGTCCAGAGGGGTGAGCGACTGGCTGGAGGTCACACAACCACATAAAGGAAACACAGGTGCAAGAGGGCAATCTCCTCCTTCCAGGGCTCACCCTGAGACCTCACATAGCATCTGTTGTCTGAAGCAGGAGGGCCACACTGGCCAGGAGAGAGGAGAGCTTCCTTTACTGGTCACCTTGCTGCTGAATCCGAAGTAACCTGCCAAAAGACATGCTCAGGGTGGCTTCCTGAACTGTGGGTCATCTCTGAATCATGAGATAGATTCCCCCAGAGACCTGTTTACTTTCCCGCCACCTGTTTTCACCTGGAGAGGAGAGAGGCTCCACGCAGGAGAGGATGTCCAGTCTCTGTTATGGAGGTGGTACAGATGCTGCCTCCTCTGGGGTGCGGAGGTGGGAACAAAGCAGAGTGTAGGGATGCAGGTCTGCTGGATGATGAGAGGGGCCGGCAGAGGCTGTGTCTTCCATGGGTGGCATGGGAGGAGGGTGATCTGGGCGGGGAGCCAGGCAGAGGTCAGTTGACCTTGAGCTGGTGGACAGCACCCGGTGAGAGGAAGCAGCCTGGGCTGTGCAGGGGGTGGCAGCGTGGGGCCCTGTCAGAAGGAAAGGCCAGGAGAGGGGTCAGCCAGCTTCACTCCATGCTGTCTCTCAACTTCCCAGCCTTTCCCGGTGACTCTCTGGCAGCTCAGAGTGGATAGGGAGACCAACCTGGGGAGAAGCGCTTGCCCAGAGGGGCCAGGAAACCTGGTCCTCATTCCAGCATTTACAGCAACTGTTTGTCTTGGAAAAGTCGCTTTGCTTCTCAGAGTCCAGTTTCTGCATCAGCAAAAATGGATAAATTAAAAATCCTACCTCATAGAGTCACTGTGGGTTGGTACAAATTGTTAACCACAGGACTGTCTGTTTTCTGCACTGCTGTCTCACCTCTGTTTGGTATCTGGTTCAGTTCAGTTCAGTCACTCAGTCATGTCTTTGTGACTCCATTGACTGCAGCACGCCAGGCCTCCCTATCCATCACCAACTCCCAGAGTTTACTCAAACTCATGTCCATTGAGTTGGTGATGCCATCCAACCATCTCATCCTCTGTCATCCCCTTCCCCTCCCGCCTTCAATCTTTCCCCACATCAGGGTCTTTTCAAATGAGTCAGTTCTTCTCATCAGGTAGCCAAAGTATTGGAGTTTCAGCTTCAACATCAGTCCTTCCAATGAATATTCAGGACTGGATCTCAATCCAGCACTAGCATCTGGTACACACTCCAAATTTGTTGACTCGATGAATGTTTAATTTTTAGCAACCACTTCCTGGGTGGCAGACATTCTTCAAGACTTAGTCATTTCATCCTCATCAAATCTATGACTGGCCTCTGAGGGGCACAAGGACTCTTCCAGGTCACATACTGCTTAGGGCAGAGCTGCGATTCGAACCTGGGTCTTGGCAGCCTGACTCCAGAGCCAATGGGCTCCATTCCCACACAGTGCCCTTTACTCTGTGACCCTGCTTCATAAACTGGGATGTTTTACACAAGTAATACAAGTCAGTCCCTGGAAGAGGAAGAGGATTGTGATGGTCACTCAGTGGATGAGGACACGGGGACAGAGGCAGAGACTTGAAGCAGGTTTCCCAGGCATCCATGCCCACGCTCTTTCTAAAAGAATCGCCAATGTTTACAGTGGAGTTTGAGTAAGCTCCGGGAGTTCGTGATGGACAGGGAAGCCTGGTGTACCGCAGTCCATGGGGTCGCAAAGAGTTGGACTCGACTGTTTTACTGAACTGAACTGAACTAAACTGAACAGTGAACAGAGCCCCCAAGGTGTTCCAATCTGGAGGAGATGGTCCCAGACAGTGACCCTGCCTCAGCCCCGCCCCCAGCCCCACCCCCGCGTGCGTCAGCCACTCACGGCCACGTCCGGGTTTGTGGGCGGGGCCAAGCTGGCCTCACTCAGCGGTTGCGAAGCCGCAAGGCTGTTTGTCTTCTCCTGCTTCCGCCACTTGGCTCGCTGATTCTGGAACCAGATCTGAGATGAAGGCAAGAGAGGATGGAGATAAGCAAAGGGGCTTTTCTCCATCCAGTTCCTCTCCTCAAAATACATGATGACGGCTCCTTCCAAGGGACCACCCCTTTACAGTTTAGAAAGGTCAACGGCAGCCATGATTTCTTTGGATCTGATCTGCCTTGGGAGAGGGGTTCCGAGGTCACAACCTTCCATGCCTACAGGGGCTGGGGGACTCATAGGAGGGAGCGTGAACCAGCAGGGTGCCCTGTAACTGGGAGTGGTGGGGTCTGGGGTGAGCAGAGGCTGAAGGGGGCAGCGTCTCAGCCTCAGCCAATAGCCACCATGTGGAAATGTGAGGCCAGTGCTGCAGCTTCATCCAACTTCTAAGGCAGAAATCTTGATTTTTCTGTGAAAGCTCTGAGATTTAAAAAACCATGCAGATCAGAGAAAACCCAGCTCTTACCTGCTGGTGGGCCACCCGTTTGAAACCCCAGTGAGGCGTCTGGTATCTATAGGTTGACTATTGAGGGTTGCCTGTATTCATGGGCACCCTGACTGTCTGTGACACATGGCCATTTGCACTTGGCCATTCTCCTGAGGCAGTGTTGAATTCTGGGCTTTACACTAGATGTAGATGCTACCCACCTAGTTGGTGACTGATTTCAAATGGGAAGTAAAAGGGGTGAAGTCCAGACAGGGGTGGGCCATGACCAGAAGAAAAGTAGGCTTGGATGAAATGAAGGGTGGAATATTGATGTGGACCTTGGTGCAGGTTTTGAATTTAATAAATCCATTGTATATTTCAAGAAAGTATTGAAATATAATTGATTTACAATGTTGTGTTAGTTTCAGATGTACAGCAAAGTGATTCAGTTATATGTATACATACAAATATATGTATTCCTTTTTAACATTCTCTTCCATTATAGGTTATTACAAGATATTGAAAGGTGGAGAGGAGAAGGGATAAATTAGGAGGTTGGGATTAACATATACACACTACTGTATATAAAATAGATAGCAAAGACCTACTGTATATCACAGGGAGCTCTGCTCAGTACTCTGTAATAACCTTATATGGGATAAGAATCTGAAAAAGAATAGATCTATGTAATGTGTAACTAAATCACTTTGTTGTACACCTGAAACTAACACAACATTGTAAATCAAATATACTCCAATATAAAATAAGAATTGTATTTTTCTGTTTTTCAAAGATTGTTTTGTTTATTCATTAAAAATTAAGTTATAAAAAAAAAAGATGTTGAGTATAGTTCCCCCATCATATTTGTTAAAAAAATGAAGAGTGATTTAGAAAGCTGTTTTAGAGAGAGTGCAAATATGTAACAATTGGTTTTTGATTTGCTAGAGCAATATTTGCAGAACTGGGGATGTGCAAAGAGAGTGGGGCATACTGTTGATGAGGGGCTGCTGTATATCTAACCACAGAGGAAGCCTAGACACTCGAGGGGTGGGGGGGAAGAAATGACAGATTACAGATTAGGTCTCTGACCATGGAGAGTCCTTGCCACTTCTCTGTGCTACTGCCAAAGTGATACCCATGTGTTCCAAGTCAGAGGTTGGAACAGTCCCACCTGTTTTTGTACAGCCCTTGTACTAAGTATGGTTTACACATTTTTAAGTGGTTGGGAAAAAATCTAAATTTGGTGACATGCAAATGACACAAAATTCAAATTTTAGTGCTCATCAGTAAAGTTTATTGGAACATGCTCATCTGTTTATATGTTGTAAACTATAGCTGTTTTTGTGTTACAAGGGCAGAATTGAATAGTTATGACAGTGACCATATGGCCTCACAAAGCCTAACATAATTAGCACCTTGTCCCTTACAGAAGAAGTCTGTTGAGCCCTAGTCTAGATTGTCAAGACCTATTTTGTGAATGAGGTTGTGTGGTGAATGATGCTTTGGAACGACAGTAAAGTGGAGAAGAAGGGAGTGGAACCAGATGCCAATGGCCATCATCATAAGAACCCCTCCATGTCTGTCCTCCAAGGAGAGGAAGCATCTTATAACTATGGTGACTTCATTTCCTGGAAAATGATATTTGGACAAAAGAACTGTATTCATGGGATAAAGCCAATGGAAAATTTCAAATGGGGGCAGTCCCAAGGGTGCAGGATACCTGGGGTCTCACCCATGCCCCCAAGGGCATTGAGGAGGGGGGTTGAGGGAGGGGGATGGTTGTACCTGCACACGAGCTTCTGGGAGGTTGATCCTGGCCGCCAGCTGGTTGCGGACGTGGACATCAGGGTAGTGAGTGAAGTGGAAGATCTTCTCCAGCTCCTGCAGCTGCTCTGTGGTGAAGGTGGTTCGGATCCTCCGCTTACCCTTCTTCCCCTCTGGAGGGAGGAGAGTCCAAGCTGGGTTAGTGACCTTCGTCTCAGTGAAGCTTTTGTGCTGCCTTGTTGTACCCATTAAACCACTGTTGCCACGACTTGGCCTCTGGCTTCTTAGGCTTGGCCTTTTACAATGTTCTGTCTCCAAGAAACCCTACCCCTAGGTTGACTCCCTGTATCCATCCTGGACGGTGTGGCCAAGATGACCTTCTAGAAATTTCTTTGTCCTTTCTGCTGCTCAGATGCCTTCAAGCAAATTTCCCTTGTCTGTAACAAGGAATGGCAAACCACAGCCTGGGGGGTCACATCTGGCCCTCTGTTTGTTTTTAGAAATAAAGTTTTATTGAAACTCAGCCTAACACATGGGTTTATGTATTATCTATGGCTGTTTTTGTGCTATAATGGCAGAGTTGTGTTGCTGAAACAGAGACTGCAAAATCTAAAATAGTTACCATCTAGCCCTTTACAGAGAAACCTCAGCAGTCAGCCCCTGACAGCCTTTTTCCAGCCACCTGTCCAGTCTCAGGCCCACTCAGGGCTGCTACATTATAGGCGGGACCTAGTGCAGAAAAAAACACTTTTTCCTTTCTTCCACAGTCTCTCTCTCAACTGGTCATAGTGGTTTTTCACTTGCTACTTAAGGCGCTTCTCCCTCAGGCACAAGAATACTAACACACACACGAGGTGGCTGAGGTCACTGGATTGAGGGGCTATGGGGAAACAGGACTGAGAGCCCATCCCAGGGAAGCAAGGAGGTGGTGAGAGGGGCACTGAGCATGAGTTGAGGCTCCAGGACCCTGGTCCTTGCTTGGGCCGTATTTTATTTACTCTCTGGGCCTCAGTCTCCCCATCTGTAGAATGGGGGAGTGGAGAGGGGTTGAATGATCAAATCACTAAGGCCAAATCCACCCTGGCCCTCTGCAATTCTCTTTCTCTTCAGGTGGAGGCTTGAAAGACCTGGCCTCAGCCTTGCCTGGGGGCCCAGTTGGCTGGGCAAACGGTAGATGGATAAAGGAGAGATTTCTGCTGAGGATAACACTTCTGGCTGAGTTACTCCTGAATTTCTAAGAGTTGACAAGTGCCTTCCATAGTCTGCCCCTTTTTTTAACCTCTGATTTTATTTTATTTATTTTTTATTGGAGTATAATTGCTTTACAATGTTATGTTAGTTTCTGTTGTGCAACAAAGTGAATCAGCTGTGTTGTTGTTCAGTTGCTATGATGTGTCTGACTCATTGCGACTGCATGGACTGCAGCACATGAGGTTTCCCCATCCTCCACTATCTCCGGGAGTTTGCTCAGATTCATGCCCATTGAGTTGGTGATGCCATTGACCATCCCATCCCCTGCCACCCCCTTCTCCTTTTGCCTTCATTCTTTCCCAGCATCAGGGTCTTTTCCAGTGAGTCAGCTCTTCACATCAAGTGGCCAAATTACTGGAGAAACAGCTGTATGTATACATATTCCCCCCTCCCTCTTAAACTGCTACCATCTCACCCCTCTAGGTCATCACAGAGCAGTGAGCTGAGCTCCTATGTTATCCCGTAGGTTTCTACAGGCCATCTGCTTTACACACGGTAGTGTACTTGTGTCTGGGGAAGGAAATGCAAGCCAGTCCAGTATCCTTGCCTGTAAAGGACAGAGAAGCCTGGGGGCTACAATCTGTGGGATCACAAGACTTGAACACGACTTAGAGACTAAACCACCAGTGTACTTATGTCAGTGCTATTCTTACAATTCAGTCCACTCTCCCCACCCCACTGTGTTCGTATGTTTGTTCCCTATGTCTGGGTCCCTATTCCTGCCCTGCAAATAGGTTCATCTGTACCATTTTTCTAGATCCCATACACACACACACACACACACACACACACACACACATTAATATATGATATTTGTTTTTCTCTTTCTGACTTACTTCATTCTCTATGACAGACTCTAGGTCCAGCCACTCATCTCCCGCCTCCCAACTACCCCTCATTGTTATTAGTCCATTTTTTTTATCCCCTCAAAGTAATTTTACTCATTTTCCTGACTCTTGGAAGCTTCTTAGGGGTTGTGGACGGTGAGATTTCAAACATAATTACCCCTTGGAGGAAGCTGTTGGATTGTGAATCAGCTGATATGATCTGATCTCTTACCTTTTCTATCTCCCTTTCTTTCCTCAAGTCCACTGTACTTTTTAATTTTAAAAAAGAGAGATTTATTCTCTGTTTGGAGCTGGTGGTGCATTTAAAGGGTAGAGCCAAACCCAACCAGAGCTGGTGCAGACAGAAATGGGAGGCATGAATCCATTGCCAAGACCTTACTGAATGTCTTTTGTGCTAGGCACAGGGGGCCTGCCTGCAGGAGAACAAAGATGAATGAGCTGTGCTGACAGTCTCTCATTCATTTATTCCCCAGGTCAGCGTTTTAGATAACTGTAATGATACAGTGCAGCTTTATAGAAAATTACCAGAAAATTCACAGAATGGAAGATTTCAGGTTGGATGGGCAAATGGAGGTTCAGGATAACATGCACCTGGGATTCTTCTAAGAATATAGAACTTTGGAATAGAGGATACTGAACCAAAAAGGTAAGGTGTAGAGCTGGAATACAGGAAAGTAAGCAACATGGAGAACAGAGGATTAGAAACAGATTGTAAATTATAACAAAAATAGGGTCTTCCTTAGTGTTCCAGTGACTAAGACTCTGTGTTCCCAATACAGGGGGCTGAGTTCGGCCCCTGGTCAGGGAACTAGATCCCACATGCTGCGACTAAGGAGTCAGAAAGCTAAATAAATACACATTTTAAAAAGTAATTAAGAAAAAAGCAAAAATAAGCCATCTCTTGCTTTTTCCCCAGAAGGAAACTTAGGCAAACAAGTGTCCATGACTAAGTATAGACTCCTTAATAAAATAATTATCTCAAGTTTCCATTTGTATAACTAAGGAAGCAGCTAATAAGACAAATACAGCTTTCCCTTATTTCCTAGAGGATCAGAAGGACATAACCTGGAGATAAGGTTATAAGAAAAGGATCTGAGCCCTCCTTGGCAAAATAATGTGATTGTTGACTTTGCGGAGAGGGGCTGCCTGTCAGTTATGAGCCAGTTAGAAAAATATTTATTCTCATTAACTTTGAACTCAACATCCTCAGGACAAATGTTTATTCTTGAGAGATGATGATCTCTCAATCATGGTGACAGGGTGTATATGTGTGTGTCCAACAGATGTAGTCACTTCTCCTGAAAAGAAAGAGGGTTGTCTAAAACATACATGGTTGGTGAGATGGAGGCAGAGCCCCAAGTGGACCAGCCTGAAGTACTCAAGGGCCAAAGCCCTACTCCCAAGACTGAGCATGGGTTCTCGGGGTGTCAGTAGTCAACACTGATTATCTCCATACAATCCTTCTTGGGATGTTATTTGAAATTGAATATGTCTAAATTGGAGAACTGTAAAAAAGAGTGGTAGGGAGAGGAATCCTGGAGCTGACATCACCCCCAGTGAGTGGGGGGTCCCTGAAATATGGCTAGTGACACCCAATCAGAAGAGCAGTTTTGGGAGACAGCTAGACTTGAATCTGACATCAGGGAAATAAGGATAGGATTAAGGCTGGACCTTATTAGAAGTTCAACTGTTTAGATCTGCATTGTTCACATGGTAACCACTATCTGCCTATAGCTATTTAAATAAAATAAAAAAAAATAGTTCCTTAGCCACACTGGTTATAGGTCATAACCACATGTGGCTAGTGGCTACCATATTAGAGAGCATAGATAGAAAACATTTCCATCATCAGAGAAAGTTCTGTTGGATAGGGCTCCCTTACAAGTTTTCCCATTGGGTTCTGGAAGAAGTCATATTCTGGGCCTCACTTTAAGTTTCTCCTTCTGTCGTACTTTCCTCTAATTGCCACATATCTCTAGGAAAATGAGTATTCATCGGTCATAGAGCCGAATTTGATGGTGTTGGGAAAACTGGAAGTACAGGAAAAGTAAGAGAAAGGGAAGGCTGGCCCACACCCATCTCCTTCCTGGTGCCTGGGGAGAAGGATGACCAGTGGAGAGGATGTTGCCCTGGAGCTCCAGGCAGTGATTCAGGGAAGAGTGAGCTGCTCGTGGTTCACAGGGAAGCGGGGAGGGGGAAGAGCAGAAGCTGAGTGGTTGGCTCAGGAAGGGTGACGGGTGACACTTCAGTTTTCCCATCAAATGCAAGAGCTGCTTTAGGAAAGGAGGGAGGGGGGCCAGCAAGCCTGATGCTTGGGTTACAGACCATAGTAGGTGATAAGAGAGAGGAACCTGGTGAGGGCAGGAAGAACAGCATAAATGAATTACGGAACAGAGAAGAAGGCAGAACAGAGGACGCTGAAAGAACATAGTAGTTTGGAACCAGAAGGAACCTCATTAAACAGGAAGCTGGAAGAACCAGTTCATGGATGGAATGCCCATCACACAGGATGATTCTTAATCGTGGAGAAGGGCTGGGAGCTTCCAGCCCTGGCTCAGTGAGGACAACGGGGGTGTGGAACCCCATCCGAGCGCACTCAGGGGAGGGTGGGAAGAGGGGGGACGAAGGAGGCAGGGAACTGCCACCTCTCTCAAGTTGCTCCTCACAGGTTATTAATTGCTTGAGCTGTGATCACACTTCAGTGGGTCTTCAAAGAGACCGAGTCAGCAGAACTTAATTAAACCTGAGCCGTTTAGCACATTGATCATAAGAAATACACAGTTTACACAGGTGATTAGGCCACCTAATTATAAACTGATGTTTCTTTGTGCATGGCTCCCTCCCCTGATTGCTCCTTCTCTGAGGTCTGCTAATTGGCCTTGGCCACTCAGCTAGAGGCCCCAGGGGCTTTGCAGCTGGGCTAGGACTCCTGAAATGAGCCTTGTCCTTGTCATCCTAAAGCAGCAGTTGGAAGAAGATCCAGGCTCCCATACCCATGGAAGTGAGGACTGGGGAGAAAGCAGGTGACACGGTTAAAGGGGAGAGTGAAGAGCCTTGAATGCCGAGCCAAGGAGCGTGCCTTGCATGCTGCGGGCACAGGTAATTGTACAAGTCCAGGACCAATCTGGGGGAAAAAGGCTGGCACATTTTGCCCTGGGAGGTGCCTCTCTGCAAGCCACCTGTCTTGTCTAGAAGGTGTCCTCAGCCTGCTGGAGGGCCCCAAAGGGAGCCTGCCCTTGTTCCTTTCCATTTCATACTTGTGACAAAGCAGGGGACCAGACACGACACCAGCTGTAACACTGGGGGAGGTTCCCTGTTGTGACCTGGGAAGAGCTACAGAACTTATTTCTATTCAATGCGAGAGTTCATGTTTAGTTGTCCTTCCTGCCAAGGACTGAGGAGGAAGTCAGCTAACTCTTATCTCTGTGAAAATACACACAGAAGGCCAACCTAAATGCAAACCTGCAGAGTGCCCAGATTAGAGGCAGCCAAAGTCCTGGGTCTTGTAACAGGGAGAAGAGCCACTTCTGGCCAAAAAAATGATGACCAACTCCCACCTTACAAGGCATATGTGCTTAGTCACTCAGTCCTGTCCACGATCCTATGGTCTTTGTGACCTCATGGACTGTAGCCCGCCAGGCTCCTCTGTCCATGGGGATTCTCCAGGCAAGAATACTGGAGTGGGTTGCCATGCCCCCCTCCAGGGGTTGGGATCGAACCCAGGTCTCCCGCATTGCAGGTGGATTCTTTACCATCTGAGCCACCAGGAAAGCCCCACTACAAGGCATATCTGGGGAAGTATACACTCTGTAGGAACACAGTAGGGATTTAAAAACTGAAAAAGGAAACTTGGAGAGTGCTACGTATGGAGACCAAAAGTGATCTATGAAGAGTCATAAAGAACCATCACCCGAGCATGGAACAGTGTGAGAGAAGAAGAGGAACAGCAAGAAGAAGCCTGCCCCGCCCTGAGCCAGGGCTCCCTCTCCAGGCCCAGAGCAGAGCGGAGGGTCCACTGTCTTTAGTTCTAGGCAGTGTGGGTGGGGAGGGGAGGATGAGAAAGGAAGGAAGGAGGCGGGAAAGAGAGAAGAAAGGGGACGGGGACAAGGAAGGAGGGGGAATGAGGAAAATGAGGGGGATGAAGAAGTGAGGAAAGATGGAGTGGGTTGAATTGTCTTCCTCTCAAGAAGAAACATCTCAGTTCTAACCCCTGGTACCTGTGAAGGTGACCTTATATGCAGATAAGGTCTTTGCATGTGCGATTAGGCCAAGGATCTTGAGATGTGACTCTCCTGGATTTAGGGTAGATTCTTTGTCTAGTGACATGTGTCCTTATGAGATAAAGGAGAGGGGGATTCCACAAGGCCAAGTGACGATGGAGTCAGAGTGTGGGATGATGTGTCTACAGGCCAAAGATGGTTGTGGATCATTGGCAGCCAGGGGGAGCTGGGAGGGAGGCACTGAGTAGTTTTTCCCTTGGCGCCTCTGGAAAGAATTAACCCTACCAACACCTTGGTTTTGGACTTCTGGTTCTGAAACTCTAAGATGACAAGTTTCTGTTGTTTTAAGCCATTCAGTTTATAGTAATTGGCACAGCAGCTAAAGGAAGCTTATATAGAGGGAGAGGATGAGGGAAGGAAGAGGAAAAGGAGGAAGAAGAAGGGGAAACAGGAGTGAGGGTTTTAAAGGGCAAAGTTTGGAGACATAAAAGGGCTTGAAAGATTGAAAGTGAGAGAGATGCTCCGTGTACCTGGAGGGTGAGGGGCAGGCAGGCCATGATGGGGGATGAATCTGGGGACCTGCAAGGCTGGTCTGTGAAGGACTTTGAATGTCACGCCAATAGCTTTAGGGGTTGATGAACTATAGCCTGAGGCCAGACCTGGCATTCTGCCTGTAACTGTAAATAAAATTTTATTGGAACATAAACATACCCATTCATTTACACCTTGTCTGCTTTTTAGCTATAACAGTTGTTGTGTAGTTGCTCAGTCATGTCTGACTCTTTTGTGACCCCATGGACTGAAGCCTGCCAGGCTCCTCTGACCAAGGGATTCTCCAGGTAAGAATGCTGGAGGGAGTTGCCATTTCCTTCTTCAGGGGATCTTCCCTACCCAGGGATCAAACTCACATTTCTCATATCTCCTGTATTGGCAGGCAGGTTCTTTACCACTAGCACCACCTGAAAAGCCCTAAATAAATGCATATATATTAAAAGAAAACCTCATATTGTGACCATAAATGGGTAACTGGTATCATGCATAATAAATAGAAGGTTAGTGTAGAAGTCATTACAGGACAATTGACATGAATAATCTTTGCCTTCCTCACCTTCAAAGTCATCTTGAAAACCTCCCCGGGGGACCCTCATGAGTCTCTTTAGAAACTGAATTCCTGAGACTTCCCTGGCAGTCCAACTATTAGGACTCTGAGCTTCCATTGCAGGGGGCATAGGTTTGATCTCTGGTTGGGGAAGTAGGATCCTTAATGCTGTGTGGCATGGCCAAAAAAGTAGAAATGCTGAATTCCAGCCTAGTAGGGAGATGGATGGATTTTAGCCACATTCAGAAATAATCTAGAGTGGATGATCTCAGGAAGCCGGGGTTCAATTCTAATGTGACATACTCGTGTGATTTTTGCAGGTGATTTATTTTCTCTTCTTGGTTTCATCAGCTCTAAAGTGGGGCTCACAACTGTGACAAATGGATGGAAACAATGGCCATGACATTGCTGTGAAAGCTCAGTCCAATCTTATGACTGCCATTTTCCCAAGCACTTATTGGGTGTCTCCTCTGGGTCTAGCTGACCTGGAACATTCCAGCAGCTTCAGTGGAGGTTCAGCATGACTGGTCTCCTTTTTGCCAACAGCCAGTGTTGGGCTAGGGGAAGGGAAAGTGCTCTGGGAAGGGAAATAAGGTCTCTCTCTCTCTTCCTCTGCTGCAGAGAGGACGGACATAGATTTTATGTAGCTGCAGCAGGAGACACTCAGGTTAGACCTTCACCAGAATGGTTCCTGTGAACGCTCATTGCTCATTCAATTCACTGGAAGATATTAATTAACTTCTGACAATTAAGCTGGGACACTTTCCTATTGATAGGGTCAGCTACTAGGAAACCCACTAGCTCTCTGGGGACACATGACCCCCCCCTAACCCCAGGCTCTTTCCCTTGGCTCACCACCAGTGAGCACCAACCCCCTCTTAGGAGACTTGACCTGGGGGAGGGAGTGGGGCTCCGTGTTTGGGAGGAGAAGGCGTCATGGCTGCCCTGAGCTTCTTTCCCTTGGATTGCTGTTGTTTAGTCACTCAGCCATGTCTGACTCTTTGTGACCACATGGACTGTAGACCACCAGGCTCCTCTGCCCGTGAGATTTCACAGACAAGAATACTGGAGTGGGTTGCCATTTCCTTCTACAGGGGATCTTCCTGACCCAGGGATCAAACCAGCAGCTCCGGCATTGGCAGGCGGACTCTTTACCACTGAGCCGCTGGGGAAGCCCTTCCTTGGATTAAAGCACTGGAAAGGAGAGAGGACCAGGGCATTCCTGTGGACACTCCAGGCTCATCACTGGTCAGACTCCAGTGGACCCCCAAGACATCACCAGCTTCATTTTCTCCTTTACTCAGCTGTCTCACTGAGGATGAAGCTGAGGCCAGAGTGGAAACGGGCTTGGCCCGGGTGGCTCGGCAGGCTGGGGGACAGCTGAGACTGACCACGGATGTCTGAATCCTAGGAACATGCATGTCCCCTCCTCCGCCCCCTCCTCAAGCTAGCCCTTAAGGAGGGGCCCGGGATCTGGTCAATGTTGTTTGGGGGTAAATCCTAGGGAGGGCCCTGGCCTAGGGTGTGATCAGGGTGGGCAGATTTGGGGCAGAGCTTAAGCCACTAGAGGCCATGCAGGCTGAACTCCACTTGCGAAGGGAAAGAGCACGACCGCCTCAGCAAGTGTTCGGGTGGCTGGGTCTCCGGTTCTCTGTGTTACCTGGGGGGCACCAGCCGCCCCTCCTCTTTCACAGATGAGTTTCTCATCAGTCTAGTTTATGATAATTTTCTGCTGAAGTCAGAGACATGCACAGCCTCCAGGATGGTGCTGACCACAGAATAAATAAATGGTCAGCATAAATAAATGGCCGGCATTCTCAGCTACGGCCTGGTTGTGGGGACAAGCCCCAGATCCCCGCATCCTGCAGTGAACCGGGCCTTGGTGGCCGAATTAGAACAGCCCCATTTCTGGGCTAGGTAGAAAGATATTTAAGGCTACCGGCCCAGTACCTGACATCTCTCTGAATTTTGGAGTCCTCTCTTCTGTTGATGCAGAGCAGCTTTCTCTCTGCCTGAACCCAGCTGGGGCTTGCAGGTCCAGGAGTGGGTAAGAATTGGCCAGAAGACACTTACCTTGGGGCTGGTCCTGTGGGGGTCTCTCTGGCCCAAAATCTGCAGCTGCTGCCTGCCTGGTGCCCCATCCACTTGTCCCTTCTGGCCTGACCACATCGCTCCTCTCAGCCGGCCTCTTTAAGATGTCCTCGATGGAGAAGGACAGGCCCCATTTCTTTGGAGCCTCACAGCACCCCGAGCTCTTCCTCTCCATCTCCCGTGGAGATCAGAGCCTGCCTCGGCACCCTCCACGGGCAGCTGTGAGGGGGCAGAGGGGCCAATGCCCGTGGAGGGGTCCTTGCTTTCCTGAAACTCCTGGAATCAAGAGGGTGAGTAGAGGTGAACAGAGATTCTCACGTTGGATTATCCAGCACGGTTATGTCTCCATGGGGACTTCTGTGAGTCACCTCAAAACACCTTGGGATCAAGGATGCTGCTTCTGTCGGGAAAGCTGGAAGGGGCTGTACCTGTGCCCATGGTCTTAGAGCCCTCGTTGACTCAACATGGAGGGAATCGCCATTGCTAAACTGAGTTCAGTCCTACTGTGACGGGTCTTCTCCGGGGTGGTCCCTTTCACAGTCCCCAGCCTAAGCCAGGGACCCTGAGGTCATGGCCAGTGGGGAACAGGACAACAGGGCTGGAAGGAAGAGGGAGGCTGCCCCCAGAGGAGATCTGGAGGCAAAGTGTCCACCTTTACCCTTTCTCTGGCGTGCGGCTCTTTCCTGCTGGCTCCGGCCAGACCTCTGGAAGGCTGGAGTGCCACCGGCGAGCCCCAGGTGGCCAACCCAGCCCTGGGCCACACTGCAGCTTGAGGGGTGCTCCCAGAAATCCTCCTCGATTCCTCCGGCTCCTGCGGCTCCCAGATTCCAGAACAGGCCTTCTTCCCAAAGCACCTCTGCATTGGCCGCCCTGCAGGTGGAGGCTTCTGAAGAGGGTCACGGGGTCACCACCAGGCTGGCTCTCTGTGCCGGGGCTGGGCTGAATGCTGGTGTCTGCACCTCCCCTGGCGTCTCTGGTCCAGCCAGCACTTTCTTCTGTTCTCTCCCCAACTTCACTGCACAAGCTTCTCAGTAGGCTCCTTCCAGGCTCCTTTCCCTTCCTTTGGGTGTCCTTTCTGTGCCCCTCCTGTTTGCACACCTTTTACCTGCCTCCTGGGACTTCGCTGAGGGGACCCTTTCCCTCCGTCTAGTAAACTGTCGACTGCAAACTGATAGGATCAACCCGTTCTTGCCAGGAGTTTTGCTCCCAATTACTGTGTAACCAGGGAGGAGGGGGCAGTAAAACGGCTGATAAGAGAAGAAACTTTCCACCCTCCTTGTGGCGGGAGTCGGGGGAAAGGGGTAGGAGGTGGAGGGGAACTTAAGGATGGGGATTGGGGGTCCCAGAGAGGTGCAGTGTTGGGGAGCTGGCCAGGCCAGAGCAGGACACTGCAAGGTGGGAACAGTGAGGCCAGGAAGCGTCCCCAGGCCCCATAAAACATGTTTGCTCAGCTGGGAGCATTTATGGGTCATATGTAGGCTGGAGGCTGGGCCGGGGTGCGGTCTGCTGGGTATTGGCTGCGAGCAGTCTGTTTCAGATGTGCTTTCCTGGACTTGAGAGCCATCTTCTGAGGTCCTTCTGGCCTGTGTGGGGAGACAGAGTTCCAGACCAAGGAGGTGTGGTGGAAGTCATGTCATGGTCTCATCTAAGCGGGACTTGGGGGAGCTCCAGACTGCCGGGCTGGCCACAAGGTCTGTCCTCACGAGCGTGATAGATACCTGGGGGGAGTCTGTGGACCTGAATGGGGCATTAGAACCCAGACCTTCTCGTGGAAGGAGGGGGAAGGGGAAGCTTGAGCCTTCCTCCCTGAGGAGGGTGAGTCAGAGGAAAGATCAGAGGAGCCGTGCCCCTGGGAAGGGTCAGGTGGTCTGGTTTAGCCAGGGGAGCCTGCCTCTGCCGGGTCACAGCATGTGTGCTGCAGTCATGTCTGACTCTTTGCGACCCCACGCACTGTAGCCCGCCAGCCTCCTCTGCCCATGGGATTCTCCAGGCAAGAATACTGGAGAGGGTTGCCATGCCCTTCTCCAGGGGATCTTCCCAACACAGGGCTCGAACCTGCATTTCTTATGTCTCCTGCATTGGCAGGCAGGTTCCTTACCACTAGCGCCACCTAGGAAGCCCAGCAAACCCTCAAATCTTGGGAGCTTCAGTTGCTTACTCATGTCACAGTCAATATAGTTGGATATCCCTCTGGGGACTCAGGCTTCTTCCAGACTGTGAGGCAATCTATCTCCAATCAATCAAAGGCTTCAAGTTTTCCAAGGAAGAGGAGAGAGCAGAGGAGGAAATTTGAATGAGTCAGCAGTGGCAGTGGTTCAGTAACTTCTGCTCCTACTATGTGGCCGGAATGAGTCACATGGCCTTGCCCAGATTCTGGGAGGTAGAGTTCTCTGGGCCAGAAGGGAAGTAATCCAGCTAGGCTGGTGCACTGGGACATGCCTGCTTTATGGTCAGGAGGCCAGAGGCCCACAGAAGTCAGCCCCCTCCATTCGAAAGAGTTATCGCCTTGGGAGTGTGGATTTCCTTCTGCCTGGGGTCGAGAAGCTGTGACGGACACTTGTGGTGGCCAGTCAAGAGTGAGCACAAGGGAGACTTCCCTGGTAGTTCAGGGGTTAAGACTCCACACTTTGACTGCAGGGGGCGTGGATTCAATCTCTGGTCAGGGAACTAAGGTTCCACATGCTGTGTAACACGGCCAAAAAACCCCAAAAAACCAAAGGGTGAGGACATGGACTCCGGGGTCCAAAGAAGGAGCAGGTATGAGGGGCGGCCACTGAGGCAGGGGCTGTGCATGCATCACCCGATTTAATCCACCTGACAGCTCTATCATCTGGGGTCACTCACCCCATTTTACAGCCGAGGAGAGGCGCCCAGAGAGGTGAGTGTGGATATAAGGCTGCATAGCTAATCCTGTAGAAGCAGCAGCGGCCACACCCAGGTGAGTCCGGCTCTGAAAACCATGCTCTGCTCCCCTTGCCATAATCCCCAGAGCCCATCCGGTCCAAGCCTCTCACTGTGCAGACGAAGAACCACGTCTCAGATGGGGAATTTTCCCGAGTTACACCTGTCCTTTTCAGCATTGCACTGAGTTCCTTGTATTTCCTTTCTCTCTGGGGTGAGCATTGCCTCCCTCCAATCCCTGGCACGGTAATAAAGCAGCACTCACAGTGTGGAGTGTGGACCTTCCAAACCACGGCCTTCGTGGTGAGCCATAGTCCAGGCAGTCACATCTGTGTTCACCTCACAGATCTTGCTGGAGCATCTACTATATGCCATGGAGGGGTGGGATGCAGATGAATGAGCCATGAACCTAACCAGAGGGACCCTCACTCTAGGGTGGGGAGTGTGCTGGGAGGGGAGGAGATGGCCAGTGAGACAAGGTGGAAAGTGGTCAGTGGTCAGTGTTGGAGGAGTTCAGAGGAGTAACTCTGTGCAGCTGTTTGGATCAAAGAGGGCTTTGCCGCAGAGGAAGGAGAGAAGGGGAGTCATCACACAGGTTCCCTCATATAATCTACCCTACAACACACAAGCAAGTAGAGACACTGGCAGCATGGTGCACTATTACTAGTCCATTGATGGGAAAGAGATTTTATTTTATGAAGGGCCGTTGAGGAAGAACAAGTCAGCCATGTGCCCTTTTCAACAACACGGCTGGACTTGGAGGGTATTATGTGACATGAAATAGATCAGACAAAGACAAATACTGTGTGATACCACTTACATGTGGAATCTAAAAAATGAAACTAGTGATGACAACAAAAAAGAAACAGGCTCACAGATACAGAGAGCAAACTAGTGGTTATCCGTGGGGAGAGGGAAGGACGGAGGGGATATATCGTGGGAAGGGATTAAGAGACACAAACTACTATGTATAAAATAAATAGGCTACAAGGATATATCGTACAACACAGGGAACATTGCCATATTTAATAATAATGATAAATGAAATAGAACTTTAAAAAATTGTGGATCACTATGTTGTACACCTGAAAACTATATAATCTTGTATGTCCACTATCTATGAGGGAGCGTTAGTCGCCTAGTTGTGTCTGACTCTTTGCGACCCTATTGACTATAGCCTGACAGGCTCCTCTGTCCATGGAATTCTCCAGGCAAGAATACTGGAGTGAGTAACCATTCCCTTCTCCAGGGGATCTTTCCAACTCAGGAATCAAACCCGAGTCTCCTGCATTGCAGGTAGATTCTTTACTGCCTGAGCCATCAGGGAAGCCCATATCAACTCTACCTCAATTAAAAAAAATATTTTTAAAGTACCCATGAAAATGTGCTGGACTGTGATTGCAGGATTGGAAAGATAGTTGTGATCAAAATAAGCAAGCACCCTGCCCCTCCAGCCCCTATCTAACAGAGCTTACACTGGAAATAGATAATAAACAGGTAAAAAATATATGGCCAATGTAATTTATATTTGTGACAGTATTATAAAGAAAATAAGACAAAATGATGAGCTGGAGAGCAGCCAGCTGAGGGAGGGTACCTTAGTTTTTTTCAGGTTAAAATTATATGCCACAGGTCATACAGAGTTGTGAGTGGTATTGTGAGTGACAATTCATGAACCCAACTACAGGGTGAAGTGAAGCATTCATCGGGGACTTGAATAAGATGGAGATGAGTTACAGGCTGCATGAAATCAACTATAGCCCAATATAGAATAAAAATAATAAAAAAGATCTCCTTTAATGACCTTCCATCATGTATTATAGTTTTCAGGGTAGAGGTTTTTCCATCAATTCAGTTCAGTTCATTTGCTCAGTCATGCAATCCCATGAGCCACAGCACGCCAGGCCTCCCTGTCCATCACCAACTCCCAGAGTTTACCCAAACTCATGTCCATTGAGTTGGTGATGCCATACAACCATCTCAGCCTCTGTCGTCCCCTTCTCCTCCTGCCCTCAATCTTTCCCAGCATCAGGATCTTTTCTAAGGAGTTAGCTCTTTGCATCAGGTGGCCAAAATATTGGAGTTTCAGCTTCAGCATCAGTCCTTCCAATGAACACTCAGGACTGATCTCTTTAGGATGGACTGGTTGGACCTCCTTGCAGTCCAAGGGACTCTTAAGAGTCTTCTCCAACACCACAGTTCAAAAGCATCATTCTTCTGTGCTCAGCTTTCTTTATAGTCCAACTCTCACATCCATACATGACTCCTGGAAAA